TGTGAGGAGGGGCATTTTTACTGCGTGAGAAATATGAGCAGCACAACACTGCGGTTTATATGTATATGCAAACAGTGAGAAACTCTATTCGGTTGTTAAGTGGTGACGTAAGAAGCGCTGTTTCCGGGTCCAAGCCACAACTCGCTTCCCTTGAGAATATTACCTCAGCAGCCGTTTATGAGCACTGTTTATTCATATTAAACATTTAAGCTAAACGTTTTCAAACATACGGTCTACACTACAGTCTCCATGCTCACAACGTCCCAAACACAAATAATTTTTATATTTAGTTATTTATATTTATATTTTCATTGTCTGGCCATCTGGGATTTCGGTATAGAGTTAAAGGTTAGGATTATAATTTTTTTTGGTAGTATTATATCACATTGTGAGTGTATATTAGCACCTTTTGTTGTTTTCTCGTGGTATCTGATCGAGCGTTTGGACACGGAAGCTGTGACACGTGACGTCAGACTTATCCGCAGACTGTGGATATTTGTGCAGTATGTGCATGACAAAAAAAAATCAATTCCGATTTGAAGTTTGTGGCATATAAACACACATATCAACCTGATCACTTTATTTAGCATTCATGTAAACACTACATTCAGAATCATCAATCGGAATGAAATCAGTCCGATTAAAAAAAAATTGTGTATGTAAACATAGCCAGTGAACTACGGCTCTGTGTAGTAAAAGCTGCTCCATCTGAAAGCATGTGAAAATACCACATATGGTATTGAATATGGATATTTTTCTTACAAAAATGCATCGATTCGCTACAGAAGGCCTTTGTTCACCCCCCGGAGCAGTGTGAGACACTTTTTTTATGGATGGGCGCTTTTTATTTCAGGTCTTTTGGACTGAAGCACTGCAACACCTGCTGACTGAAATGATAGAGCTTGAAAGATCAAAGACAATTTTTTATATAACTCCAACTGGATTTGTCTGAAAGAAGAAAGTAATATACACCTAGGATGCCTCGGGGGTGAGTAAAACACAGCCTAATTTTGTTTTTGGGTGAACTAACCCTTTAAGTGATTTTTCTATTCTTTTTTGGCTGGAGCTCGGCAAGTACTTGAGTAAAAGTGCAGATATTCTAATAAAGCATTACTCCAGTAAGAGTATTAACTAATCCTTTTCAATTTTACTCATGTAAAGCACAAGAGTATTTGACTTTTAATGTACTTCAATACTAAAAGTATAAAAGTACTGATCTATTTATGTTTATTTTGTAATTGTAGCATACATACTTGTATATATACGTATATAACCTGACAATACTGACACAAAAGTCAACAAATCTTATTAAAATAATGTAGTTTATATGTACATATTCTTTCTTTCTTTCTCAGGGGCTGGTGGAAATAAGTTTATTTGCCCACTGAGAGAAGATGACGCCGATCCTGGCTCCAGGCCAGTAGGTGGCGGAGCACCATTACACAGCAGCAGAAGAAGACAGAAAGGAAATTGCATTGAAAACTTGGATGATTAGTTCTTAAAAAGAAGACTAGAAACAAGTAAAATATATGAGAATGTTTGTATGAAAAAACAAGGAGTTGATAGTAATATGGATGAAGATTTAAGTTCTTTTGAGTTAAAAATAGCCATCGACAGTTCAAAGAATACAACAGCAGAAAGTGACCTGAACAGAGGTAGCGTTGAAGCATTACTGGATCTATGTAATCATATAGGGAATTAAGATACTTTACCCAATGATTGGAAAAGTGCAATAGTGATACCAGTAGTAAAAGGAAAAGATGCAACAAAATCTAATAGTTAAAGGGGTCATATGATCGCGCTAAAAAGAACATTATTTTGTGTATTTGGTGTAATGAAATGTGTTTATGCGGTTTAAGGTTAAAAAAACACATTATTTTACACATACTGTACATGATTGTTTCTCCACTATGCCCCGCCTTTCTGAAACACGTCGATTTTTACAAAACTCATTGTGTTGAAAAGCGAGGTGTGCTGTGATTGGCCAGCTATCCAGTGCGTTGTGATTGGCCGAATACCTCAAGCGTGTGACGGAAATGTTACACCCCTCACCATACTGTGATGATGCCCTGTCCGGCCGGAGCGACGAGACATAAACATGAAAACCCATTATAAACCAGGCATTTGTTGCATCCAGTGGGAACATAATTATGGATTATAATGATGTGACATGTGGCCAAGTATGGTGACCCATACTCGGCATTAGTGCTCTGCATTTACCCATCCAAAGTGCACACACACAGCAGTGAACACACACAAACCGTGAACACACACCCGGAGCAGTGGGCAGCCATTTATGCTGCGGCGCCCGGGGAGCAGTTGGGGGTTCGGTGCCTTGCTCAAGGGCACCTCAGTCGTGGTATTGAAGGTGGGAGAGTGTGCTGTACATTCACTCCCCCCACCTACAATTCCTGCCGGTACGAGACTCGAACCCACAACCTTTGAGTTATGAGTCCGACTCTCTAACCATTAGGCCACGACTTCCCCTTATACTTTCTTTTTGCGCATTGCGTTGCATCGTGCCACGTAAACATAAAACCTTGTCTGCATTTGTGATCGGAGAAATGACAAACAACAAGCACTAATCTACACTGCCCTAAAAACTCACTTTAAATATAAAAAATATAAAAACTCTTTAAATATAAAAAACGTACTTACAGTCTGTGAGTCAGAACAGCCAGCATTGTAGTCTACTCTCCCAGGATCAGGAAACGGTCCTTCATAAAATGTGCTGCACACATCTGAATATTTGGGTTAAACTGTTCTGGAACAGTGTTGTAAATACAACTTAACCACTGATTTCTAGTCGTGTCCTCTTTTGGAAGACCAAACAAAGTAGTTTCGCTTTCACAACGAAACACAGAGCCACACACCGCGGCCTACAGTGAGCAGAGGCGGGCGGCTTGAGAACGGCGCGGCCGGTGGATTCGACAAAGGAGGCTTGCGGCAACCGCACGTGACGACCCCGGGCTGGACTCTGCTTCGTCCACGGTGAAAGCCGATCCGGCAATCCACAGCGCGAAGTTGAAGTATTTCCTCAGCGACCAGCACAGATCAGCTCCAGGCATGACGAAGCAGATATCGTCCTCTTTTGGAAGACCAAAAAAAGTAGTTTCGCTTTCACAACGAAGCACACAGAGTCTTCAGGACATGGTGGTGGCGGAAACAACAATACTACAGCGAGAATAAAAGTTACGCCTTCTTTCTTTGCGTGAACATTTGGGCGGCGTTATGCAAATCTTCCCACATAGTGAGGTAGACATGTGGTGGTGTGTTAGAACGAGCCGTTTTAGGTAGGTGTGGCTGACTCTTAACTTTTATAAAGAATATCTCTTTGGATTTGAGACTTTAGTCTTTGCAACTTTACAGATCTTCTTTATGCACCAAGAGCTTGTAACACTCCAAAGAGAAAGGAAAAACTGAAATCGCATCACATGACCCCTTTTTAAAGGCCAATTGCCCTAACATCTACATTTTGCAAAGTAAAGGAGAAAATTAAAGTAAGAAGGCTGAATTACTTTTTGGAAAGGTGTCAGTAGATTGGGGATGGAAGATTTCAGTACCAAAGATTCAGTATATGGTTTTTACAAAGAAAATGGAACAAATGACTCTGAAATCATATGATCAATCACTAGAAAGAGTGACAGAGTTCAAATATCTTGGATTAATCTTTGATGAAAAATTGACTTGGAAGAAAACAAATGCAAAGGCATAATAAATTGCATGACTCCAATAGCTAAGTGTGAACGGGGAGCAAGAACAAGCACACTGTTACATGTGATCAAGCCCTAATACGTTCTAGTATATTGTACGGGGCTGGAGCTAAACCAGAATAGAAGAAACTGTCCAGAGAATCTGTTGTGGAGCAATAAGAGCAACTCCTCTAGATGCCATCAGGGTTGAAATGATGCAAGAGGAAAGCTTGCATGTATTGGGTTAAGTAACAATCATCATACACGCACAATTTTAAATGATTGTTGGGAATATAAAAAGAATGGAGGGAATAGTTTAGGATGGAAATATGAAGAGCGGGTCAAGGATTGTGGTCTGGAGAATGAAGTAATCTGTCCTAACATGCCGTTAAATGGTGTATCAGTATGGAATATTCCTGAACTCATAGTTGAAATGAGATTATTGGCCTTATTACAGGCCTGGGAAGAAGCAGAAGAGAGATATAGTTATGAAATCAATGTTTTTATGAGATAATTGTATTCTTTTATACAGATGGATCTAGAGATCCAAACGATCAAACAGTAGGAGTGTATATTCCACGATTTGAGTAAGTTTAAGATTAAGTGACCAATTGTCTGTGTACTCACAGAATTAACTATAGTAGGATCGCAATGGGTCGCACAGGTCAGGATTGTAATTTGCTCAGTCTTCATCAGCTCCTAAGAGTGTAATGCCTACAAAAACTGACCGAGAAGAGCTGCTAGTGCTACATTCCTGTACGGACTGAAAGTAGCGGGTAGCTCTGTGTAGATCTGGATAGGCTGGGACACACAGGACTTACGGGGAAGCACGGGAACGGTATGTGTGATGAACGTGATGCTTTAGAAACAGCAGAGCATGTGCTTTTCAGATGCAGTAGATACGATGATCAGCGTAATGATCCGGTTAGCAATATAAGGAATCTGTTCTGTAGGCCAGTGAGCGTCGTGGACCTTTAAGGGGTTGAGAGATAATCAGATATAGAAGGTGGTTTTAACACGTGTAGAGCTTACAGGACTAGACCACAGGATTTAGCACTATAGTGTCTGAGGAGGAGGAGGATCACGATGCTTCTGAGGAAGCTGGAGCTCTGATCACTACATTATTCCTTTATTTATTTAAGAGGGGAAAACAGCAGTACAGAGTGAGATACACAGTAGATGAACGGAGGAGGAGAAGAAGAAGACGCCGCGTGTCGCTCCAGGCCAGCAGGCGGCGGAGACGCACACGTGACAAACACCATTAGCAGCAGCAGAAGAAGACAGAGCGGAAGTTGCGTCATTGCTCGGTCGTGCATCGTGAGCAGAGAGTGTTTTTAGCCGCTGGTCCGCGCTTCAATGATCAGCTTGTGAAGGAGTTCAGAGGAGTTCAGAGTCTAGAGGAGTCTAGAGGAGTCCAGAGCAGCCATGAGGCGGACTAAAGCGGACGTGGAGCGCTATATCTCCTCCGTCCAGAGCGCCTCTCCCTCGCAGAAAGCGGTAAGAAGAGCACCACGGGCCTAATGTCTGTAACTTACACTCACTCTGACAGAAACACCGAGCAGTAACTCCGAGGAGCTCAGCTCTGGTGTTTCTGTGCTGAAGTGTCCTCTGCCCAGTTTAACCTGATCTCAGCATCTGAAGCGAGGTCTAAAGCTCTTTCTGTTCTGCACTAGTGTCTAACTGCGCAGCTTACAGTGCTAATGGTGTAGTTCCCATCATGCACCTCGTCTCAGACTGCTTTATTGTGTGTGTGTGTGTGTGTGTGTGTGTGTGTGTGTGTGTGTGTGTGTGTGTTACAGATGTGCATTTATTCATTCATCTGTTACTTGCATTAGCACTTGAGCAGATTCTTAAATCGTGCTGCTTGCTCATAGTGTTCCCCGCTCAACAGATATGACCGTACCTTTAATTATATCACACTCTTAAATAACATTCAGCTGAACATCTGTTGCTCACAGGCAACACATATAAACACCTGCCACCTTTAGTGCACACAAACAATGGTAGTGTTATATTGTTTGCATAAATGCTCCTCTGTAAACCGTGAGAGATGCACTCCATTACAGATTAAAGAGAGGAACAACATATAAGGTAAGGTGGCCAACAGGTAAATAAATGTAGAATTGCACTGTTTGCTCTCGTGCATCAATCAGAGTAAACCGTGAGAGATGCTGAGACAGGCACGGCGCTTGCGGACCACATGATGCTCGCTCCATTATGGAGAAAAAGAGGAGAAATAATAAAGGTAAGGTGGCAGATAGGTAAGCTAATAAGAGTGAACGGAGAGGAGGGTTGTGTCCGGGAGCAGCCAGAGGTCTTTAGGAGGTTAATGCGTGCCGTTGTGGCTCCCGCTGGTAAAGAACCGCGGGCCGTGTGTTGTGTAAGGTGCCAGAAGGTCGAAGGAGACCGGGTGGCATTGTAAATATGAAACCTGTTTGATATTTAGCACTCTTGATCAATGAGAGCGAGATGTTGTGTGCTTCTTTAAATGAAGCTTGGCAACCACAGACATGCATGCAAGCAGAGCACTGAGAAAAATAATCACCCATGTTCTGCATTTTCTCAGAAATCACGCGCACTAAAATCAGTTGAAACTCTCGTGTCTGTGCTCTCCTATGGCTTTAAAATGGGCTGAGATTTGCTGCCAGCCTCAGACTCTCTAATAGTTACCCAAATCATGTCAAGCGCACCCATCTCATTAAACAGGCAGTCATTTATTTAAAAAAATATGATCGGTATGTGTTTGATAAAAGGAGAGTTCTTTTACAAAGTTACACTACCAGACAAGTTTTTAACATTTGTTATGTTTCTTAAAGAAGTCTCTTCTGTTCACTAAACCTGCATTTATTTGATCCAAAGTACAGCAAAAACTGTGACATTTCGAAATATTTTACTATTTAAAATAACTGCTTTCTATTTGAATATATTTAAAAACACTTGTTGATATCACGTTCGAGTTCATGAGGTGGCCTACCTGAGTATGAGAGGAACACCGCTTTCACGCTCAACCAAACTAACATTACTAGCCAGTCAGACGGTTTTGGTCCTATAAACACAAGACGCGCAAAGCTGCGAGGTGCAATGGTCAAAGATTTCCATCTAGAGCCATATTTATATAGAAAAGCAGCGGAGCTTTGTAAACAGCTCAGAGTAATCACGTCATCTCCATAAGAATACGATATGATCGGCAGAATGAATTTGCCTGTAGTTTTGGAAAGGTCCTGTGACGAGGTCAAGAGGCATGGTCTCTTCAGGGTAGTTCACCAGTGAAGACTGCATGTGTGAGTATAAGAGGCTGAACGCTTCCTCTGCGTCTGCGGTGAGTTTGGGTTGCTTTACGTTCATCTGCAGAAACTGTGCGTTATCTCACTTAATGTGTAACTTAAGTCGTTTATAAACCTATGCCAACACCGAATACATCAACATATTTCCAAATATGCGATTTCAAAGTAAAAGTTTCTCAGGTTGCATGTGGCCAAATATTACAATTAAATGGATTTAAACGTCGTTGAATCGCATGAAACATCACGAGGCTGTTGGCGCCCTCTGCAGGTGTTTGTTATAATATATGCAGATTACATTGTGTTTAACAGTTGTTCAATAAAACCATGTACTTGGTTTTGATACTTGATACTTTATTTGAGCCAATTATTATTGCCTCATCGTTACTTTATATATAAATATAGTCATATTAAAGCCTGTTTTTCACTTAGTTCTATTTGTATTACTAAAAAACATCAGATTACTTGATTAGCAAAATAATCATTAGTTACAGCCCTAGATTTGGTAAAACATTTCAAAATACAACTGCATTAATTAGTTCTAGTGAACCTAGTATCTGTATGTCGTCTCATCTCGTGAGCTAAGTGTATTGTCACACCCCTAGTGTCTATGAGCTCATAATAAAGCTCATAATAATCCAAGTGTATGAGAGAGCCTAGCTTTCATTCTTCAGGTCAATCAGTTTCAAACAAATCAGTTTGAGTAAGGAAAGCGATAACTTTGCCATAGTATCCTTTCAAATGTTGCCACAGCCATTACATTCTTTGCATGTGCTGCACTTTATTTGTACTATTTTGTTTTATTAGTTTATTTATTAGAATTTGAAAGATAATAACTATTTTTTGATAAGTGAGATCTGATTTTAAGTCAAGTCACCTTTATTTATATAGCGCTTTTAACAATACATATTTTAGTCCTTGAAAACCAAAAAAATTGTGCTTAAAGTCCTTGAAAGTCCTGGAATTTCATTTTGCAGTATCCGTCCGAACCCTGTTTAAGTTTCCATTTCTTGGAGCATTTTTTGTTGTTGTTAATTGAACTGAACTGTAGTTTTCTGTAGTAAACTGTCTTTGTATATTTCCTGTTTTATTTTCATTTCCAAGTATTTAATAAAGCAATAAGCTAGGGCTGTCACGGTTCGTCGATTCTATTCGATTTTTAAAAATCCTCGACTTCACTTTGCTTGCGTCGACTAACCGGCAAAATACCGGAAGTGGCGCATTTCACAGACGAGAATCCATAAAACACATTATTAGACTGTTTCCCAAGGTTGCATGATATATTAAACCCATTTAAAAATAATAATTAAGCATAATTGTGAATTCACAAATGCTACGATTTAATTAAATAATTATATGCAATGCAGTTCTAATACAGTATATGTGCTTTAATTATTTACATGCGTGTAGGTTAAGTACGTGCGTCACACAGCGGCTCCATTCACAGTAGTTCCACAGGAACTGTTATCATTTACATGTGTGGAGCGACTCAAACTCCATCTCTGCATGTTGTTGTGAGTTTGGGTTTATTATAACGTTCATCTGGGAACGCAACGTGCGCCATTTCATCAGATTTGTAAGGTAAATCATTTATAATTCTACACAAACACAGGAGAATATATCGAGGTTTCAAAATAAAAGCTCAAACCCTCACTCTGAGTTTACACGTTTTGATGGCCACATATTATTTTAATTACAGTGGCTATACCATTTCTGTCCTAAAGAAATGGCCAAATATTAAAGATTAAGTGACCATTTGAATTAAATGGTGCTTGGTTAATATTAAGCAAGTATTAGATCGCACATCAATGTGTAAAAATAATAATCAGGCCTTTGGCGCCCTCTGGAGGCCTTTGTTGTAATATGTAATGTACATTAGCTCGATTCACTGATCCTTAGAGATTATATTATTATAATTATATATAGATCAGTGGCTCTATTACATTATAATACAGTATTTTAACAGTTTTGTTCAATAAAACCATATGATTTCTTGCTCTTGATACTTTATTTGAACTCATTATTGCCTCATTGCTATTATATATGTATTTTAAGTCATTTTAAAGGCTATTGTTCACTTAACCTACATCTATTTTTATTACCACAAAAAATAATTAATTATGTTGTATTAGTAGACCAGAACACGTGGACATGTTGTCATTCTTACACTATAATACTGAACTCTGATTTCAGTGATTTGGACTATGAGATGGACACTTGCTTCTTGCACTCTATGCACTTTACTTTTGCTTTAAAAAAAGGATTTCATAGAAATTTGGATTTCATTTGGAGCTTCACGACTGAAGTCCTCTGTTCATTTTTCATCAAGCTGGAGACGTCTGTTTAAATCTGTTTACACATTTCTAAGAGTACTTTTAATACTTAACATATTTAATAATAATAACTTTTAATACTTGATTCCAGTGGACTCTAAACATTGCATTTAATGTGAAAACCCAGCTGTTGGGTTAATTGAAACAGATTTGTTCCCCTTTGTAGTTGCACAAAGAACATGCTGACTTTCTCAGACTTTTTTGTAATTTTGTTTTTATTTCATTTTTATTAGGTTTGTTTACATTTTTACTCTTTTTTTAGCTTTACATTTCGTCAGTGGCTTGTTTACATTTATACGTTTGTATGGTACACCACTGAATGGCAAAGTTGCAAGCTTAATAAAAATGTTCTTTAAAATTGTTGATTTTTTTTTGTGTGGGAAATTAATCGTTTAGATAAATCGATGAAGTAGTCGATAGATTAATCGAAATAAAAATAGTCGTTAGTGGCAGCCCTACAATAATCCCTGTGAAGCCGTGGTTTACAGTGAATATATATAACAGCTAAGAAGCATTGTTACGACTCGAAGCAGAGCCTAAACCCCCTTAGCTGTTATAAATTCACTGTAAACCACGGCTTCACGGGGCTTACTGCATTTATACAGTTATTCCATATACGTAGTACGGCTTCACAAAATAAAGCAGAGCAAATAAGGTGTAATGATATTAATAAAAACAGTATTCTTCCACCAAACAATGTATCTCCTCAGAAACAGTTGTGGTTGCTACAAAGTGGCTGCCGAGCAACACACAAAGGTGTGTTACGTTGTAGAGTAATTTACAGCAGCTTCGAACGCGGCTCAGCCAATCAGAATCAAGCACCGGAACTATCCGCTTTATAATTTACAATTATTTCTTTTGAGCATAAAAGTGATTTTGAACAAAACAATTTCTGAAATGTCATGTTTTAGATTGTAGGTCATCTTGTACCCTGTCAAGGACAAAGCTGACCAGCAGAACTTGATATCAATAGCATCCTCAGTGTTACATGTGTTTGCGTTATAGTATACCTGTCTTGGTATTGCGGTTTCAAACATCCCTCCGTAGTCTGTAGTCTGAGCCTGGCCAGGGCTGAAGGCAAGGGCAGATACCTTACTAGTTAGTTTCAAGGAAAATCATTTTCAAATAATGTTCTTTTTTTGTTTGTTTGCCAAATAACCCCGTGTATGTGTCCGCCCCCGCAACCCCCATAAAAAAGTTCAGGCTCAGGATTATTTTTGCTTTAACTCCTGTTAAATTTCAGCACCATTACTGCAGTCTTCAGTGTCACATGATCTTCAGAAATCATTCTAATATCATTTGCTGCTCAAGAAATATTTCTGATTATTATACTACTATTATTATTATTAGCAATATTTAAAACAGTTGAGTAGATTTTTTTCCAGGATTTTTTGATGAATATAAAGATCCAAAGATCAAGGATGCTTTAAATTGTTCACAAGTGATGATAAGGACGTTTATAATTAGTGGTCGACCGATATTGGTTTTTTGACAGACGATCTCTTGGAAAGCAGATGGTCAACATAATTGTATTTATTTTAATTAATATTTCAGAAATTTGAAATCATTTGAAAATGGATTAAAAAATAAATGTGTAAAATAGACATACTTCTTCTTTAGATGACAAAGTATTTTTCACAAATAAATACATATTTAATAAAAATATAATTAAAAAGGAAGTAAACACTGTAGCCAACAGGGCACTCAGTAATCTGGGAAGTTTGTGTGCATTGGGAATCATATTTTTTTCCAAATAAAGCCAAGGTAACACTCATTTTGCATGCAGCACACAGTGAAAATTACATGAATATGACAGCGGGCAAATGCATAAAGTGCAGCATAATTTGAAATCACGAGTTTAAAGTTTGTCGATCGCGAGTCTCTAGGGAAGCTGAACTCTCCTCCTGTCCGCATTCAATTCACACGGACCGACCGTCACGCAGAGAACACGCGATCATGCAGGTCACACGCACACTTCACACGATCTCACAACTGGATCCGACTAAGTTTGCAAGGTTTGTGAAATTAAATGTTCATTAGTCATTCAAAGATTTGTTTAAATGATATAAATGCGTATTTGCTGAATGCTGACGGCAAACAAGAAAGTATTATGTTTGCCTTTCTATTACTAATAACATAAAAGCAGTCGCTATAAGACTTTTTGTATACATTTTAATTCCTTTGTTTAACCGTTCAATCTGATTAGTGCTCAGGCCCTGCCGCTCTCAGCGCCGTCAAAATAAAAGTCCCACCTCGTACGCATCGGCCAAACAGGAAAACTTATCGGCCGATGCCGATTAGGGATGCGCCGATCCGATATTCATATCGGGTATCGGCTCCGATAGTGCCATTTTTCTTGGATCAAGTATCGGTCAGAGAGGGCTGATCCAAATCCGAGATTTTTTATTTTTTTTTCTCGATTGTGTGAATTATTCTGTGTTACTTCTGATACGATAGCTTAATGTGAGCTACATATGAATATTTAAGTCCTTACATTAAAGTTCACACAAACTCTTTTCTCCGCTGTGGCTGTCAGTCATTTGTTCAGCCTTTAAACCCTGATCCCATTTGGTTACAGCAGTCAGCTCGGTAAAGCTCTCTCTAAGATCATTCTGTGTTCCCTTCCCATTATACCTGATTTGTAAATACATGTCTATGATTTTGCAAAAAGGACTTTATCTTCTTGCCGGAGTTTAATGTTGTTTTGTTACTTGCTACCGGGTGTCTGTGAGAACAAAACACGGGCGTAGAAAAGACTATAAATTGTTT